TTAATAATAAGTTTACTATATTTAACATAGAATCCCAAAAAATTTACTGGATTTTGAGAATCTATTTAACGAATATCAAAAAATATTTTTATATCAATTTCTAAATCATATTACCAAAAAATTTCAACTTTTGAAAAATTTATTATCTTCGAATAAATTTGTACATAACATCATCTAATAAATATATTTAAACTATTTATAATTTAAATTTATTAGTTTCAAATATTTTCAAACTAATAATGTCTTCTTTTCATTTTAAATAAAAATAAAATATTTTTAAATACCAACTCTACTCTAGTATTCATGATTTTTTTTGGACATGAATTAATTACTGATAAACCCTAAATTAAAAAGTACTCTATAAATTAAAAAAAATCCCCTTTAATTTGTTCGCCCAGCTTCTGAGTTCCGAAGTACGACGGTATAAAAAAATATAGAGAGAAAAAAAAATCGAAGAGAAAAACGGTTAGTCCTACTAAAGAACGGATTTTTATTTTATTTTTCCGATTTCTTCGAGAATTTCGATCCTTGGAGCTTCTGGATTGAGTTTTTTCTGTGTTCATCCTTTGGGTCCAATACTATTAACAGGTTCTTACAATCGTTTAGCTGCAGATTACAAATCTGAGTGCTTTTAGGGTTTTCGATTTCGGGAATTGTTGATCTTTCTATTGAATCCTTAATCGGGCTGCTTGACATTAGACTGTTCAATTCAGTTTTGTCTTAATTCCAGTCCAGTTTCTGTTTGTCTTAATTCCCATCCAGTTCCGGAAAGGGCTTTTGATTTGGGTCATTGTTTGAACAATATGCTTCAGATGCGTTCGATTTCAACTGTTATAATAGGGTTCTGTTATCAATTCAATCTGTTTAAAGTTCAAGGTTTTCTTGGTCCTGCCTCACAATTTTAATCCTTCGTTTCAGGCCAATCAATCATTTTTGCACGTCCTCGAGTTCACTGAAGTGTTCCTGCTTGGTTTGCTATTGAAATTTTTCATGTGGAGTTGATTAGATTGATATCTGCAAATGTCAAGTTTACTTAATGTAATGCCACATATCTTCGTATCAATGTGTTGCAGTTTTTGTCAATTTAGCTTCTATAATGTTTATCATTCCTCTGACTAGTGTTTAACTCTTAATGATATTATCAGTCTTCTATAAACGGATCTACCTCGAATTTGTCCGACGGTTCAGGGAGAACGTTTACTTCTTCTTTCTCTGGTCAGTCTGGAGCAGCGTCTCCAGTTTTCCATCATGCTGGTGAGTAGATGTTTCCGGCGTTGTTTTCGTTCGGAAATCTTCTCAGCTTATATTGGTTCTCTTTTCTGTTTATAGGATCTATTCAGGGACTTCATAATCTTCATGGAAACTATAATGTTCCAAACTTGGCGGGTAGTCTTGGATCGAGAAATTCAGGTTTAAATGGTGTTCCTTCTGCTGGTGTCCAACAACAAAACGGAAGTATTTCGAGTGGAAGATATACATCCAGCAATCTTCCGGCTGGGCTCTCTCAGGTGCAGTCATACATATATATGTTGGTATCCTCAAAATAATGCAAAAATGACCCCTTGCTTTGTGGCTCATCTTCAAAGTTTGTTTTCGATTCTTATTTGCAGATATCTCATGGACACTCAGGACTCACTAATAGAGGAGGTATAGATACTGTTGGAAACCCTTAATTCAGTAGTAAAACTAATGGGTTTGGTGGTTCTGTGCCTGCGATTCTTCCTATCTCTGCCACCATTGGTAATTAGTTTACTGTACCAGGATTGGGAGTTTCGCCAATTTTGGGAAATGCAGGTTCTCGAATAACGAGTTCTATGGGGAATATGGTTGGTGGAGGCACAATGGGCAGGACTTTGAGCTCTGGCGGAGGATTATCTATTCCGAGTCTTGGTTCTCGGCTAAATATGGCAGTAAACAGCGGATCTGGAAATATTGGACAAAATCGAATGATGGGTGGGGTTCTTCCACAAGGTACTTCATGATTTGTATCCTTTTCTGTTGTTTGTTGAAATTAGTTTCGTGCGCATTTGTATGTTTCCTTTAATGTTTTCCAAATTCGGGCCTCGTTACATCTTTTATGGTTTCTGTGAAATCTTATATTCTTCCCTTTCTCCTCAGGATCGCCGCAAGTTCTTTCTATGCTCGGAAATTCTTACCCTGCAGCTGGGGGACTTTCCCAAAATCATGTTCAAGCAATGAACAGTCTCAGCTCTATGGGATTGCTTAATGATATGAACTCTAACGATGCTTCTCCATTTGATATAAACAATGATTTTCCTCAGCTCACAAGTCGCCCCAGTTCTGCCGGCGGTCAAGGACAATTGGGTAAGTTACAAAAACCTTTTAATTTTCTTCTTCTTTCTTTTACCACTTTGAAGCAAAATTAAACTCTGCCCTTTTCTGAAAATTCTTAGGGTCTCGATTGAAACAAGGCCTTGGACTCAGTCCCATAGTTCAGCAAAACCAAGAGTTCAGCATCCAAAATGAAGATTTTCCTGCATTGCCAGGATATAAAGGTTTCCCCCTCTGTCTTTTTTTTTTTTTTATTGTCCAATGGGATATAAAATTTCTCAATTGTCTTCAGGGGCTCTTACGAAAATAGGACATTTTTATACCAAAAATAACAAAATAGTCTACAACTAAACCCTAACCCTCAATATTGACAAGATTGATCGGTTTCATACAGGTAGTAATGCTGATTATCCAATGGATTTGCATCATAAAGAACAACTCCATGAAAATTCACTTTTAATGATGCAGTCTCAACAATTATCTGTGAGTTTTAGCCTTTTTAAAAAGTCTGGGTTTAATTTCCTTCCATAGAAGGGTTTCCTCACAATGTTTATCTTATCCTCTAACGCTGCCACTTACAGATGGGAAGATCTGGTGGGTTTAACTTAGGTGGAGCATATGCGTCACACCGACCTCAACAGCAACAACAGCAACATGCTCAAGCTGTGAGTAGTAGTGGTGTCTCATTACATGGGTCTGACATCTTCTCATCTTCTCATCCGTCTTACCACTCGCAGGTATGGTATAGTCTGTTATATTTGTAGCAGATTGAGATCGGGTGAGGTTCTGACTTGTTGAAACCAACGTTCTTGTTCTTTCTAAAGTTTATATGATTGGTTTCAGACTGGTGGACCTCTGGGTATTGGATTAAGATCTATGAATACTGCAAATTCTGTCACTGGAATGGGTTATGACCAGCTCTTATATCAGCAACATCAGAACACGTCCCAGTATCGCTTGCAGCAGATGTCAGCTGTTAGCCAACCTTTCAGAGATGTGGGAATAAAATCAATGCAGGCGACACAGTCAAATCCTGATCGGTTTGGCTTGCTCGGTTTGCTTAGTGTGATAAAGATGACTGACCCTGACTTGACTTCTTTGGCACTTGGGATTGATCTGACGACACTGGGTTTAAATTTAAACTCAACAGAAAATCTTCATAAGACTTTCGCCTCACCTTGGTCCAATGAACCCTCTAAAGGTGATCCAGATTTCAGTGTACCGCAGTGTTACTACGCCAAAAGCCCTCCACCTCTACATGTAAGTCACTCAACTCTCTCATAAGTACCTTTTTTACTCGTCCATCTGGGTTTGTGTTTTCTTACCATTAGCTGTTTTATAATTTTTTTTTGTTGGATGCAGCAAGGACTCTTTTCAAAATTTTTGGTAGAAACATTGTTTTACGTATTCTATAGGTATATGTCTTTTGATTTTGCAACTACTTCTTGTTGATGCGCTCACTTGTTAAAAGAACCATAATGATTTTTTCCGTGCAGCATGCCGAAAGATGAGGCGCAATTATACGCGGCAAATGAACTGTATGTCCTCATCATAATTTTTTGTTTTTTGTCTCCAGTATTGTAAATTCGAAATGCTTCTTTTGGATTTTTTCTTCACAATTGACATACATTGAACTCGGAATATGAATATGTCTTCACATGTGAAAAAGAAAGGGATTATGAATAACTTTTATTCAATCTTTTTTCTCCATGATATGAAAATGAGTTTCTGTCTTAATTTCCTGGTTTGGTATCAGATTGCAATGCCTAAAGAATGAAGCTGCATAACTCTTATTGTTTTGCAGTTACAATAGGGGTTGGTTCTACCACAAAGATCACAGGTTGTGGTTCATTAGAATTGGGGAACCTCTCGTGAAAACAAATGCGTATGAAAGAGGATCATGTCACTGTTTTGATCCAAACTCATTTGAGATCGTTCAAAAGGTGAGATCCTTATTCTGTTCATCGATTGTGTTTTTCTTTTCATTTAGCCTCCGAAGAACACCAAAAACAATCTCGTTGCAGGAAAATTTTGTTCTCTATTACGAGATGCTGGAAAAGAGACCGTCCCTATCTCAACACTGAGTGTAAACTATTCCTTCCGTATTTATAATGTAAATTTCCTACCAAGTATCAATCGGTTAGGAAATCCATTGAACAGGAACCAGTTTCCAGCATGTATCTTCTTTCGGAATTTAGCTTTTTGGTTTATTGATCTCCTAGTAACTTTCGTTGTTGATCATATATAGCTGAAACTTCTTCAAGCTATAGGTTAAATCAATACATATCTCTTCCTCATTCAGAATCTGTGTTACACTAACGTTATGCTCTACCTTTCTTGTCTAATCGTTATTCGATTTCTCTCGTTCAAAGCATCTCAGGGAACTCTCAACACCAGGTGCTTCACCCGCATCAACTCATTGGATCAACCGCGTCAGAAAAAGGTACATCAAGTTCTGGCCGTGTACATTGATGTGAGGAGGGATTGAGTATCGTCAAAGTTAGATTGCATACATTTTCTTACACTCGTTCTGGAGAACATCCGAATCCGTTAGCTGGGGAATCCCCCAAGATCCAGATATACTGTTGATGGAGGATCTTCTAATGTTTCTTGCATTGGCGGCTTCGATTTTGTGCTGTATTATCCAATAGCACATTGTCCCTAATGTTGTGATCATTATTGTTGCCCCAATAGCAGTCACCCAAATGGCTAGCCACTTCTCTTCTTCACCAACAACAACAAACGACAGAGCCAAAAAGGCAACAGAGATGAGAACACAAGCAAGCCACATGAGTTTGTTTATAACCGCCATCATCTGTTTCTTGGCCTTGCTCTCTATTACCACGACAGATGTCTGAACCACCACGACTGCCAAGGAGATGAAGAGTGCGATCGAATCAAAGATGAAGAAGATTATAAACGGAGTCGTCGATGCAATATTCGCCTCCCCAAGGGAATGGCCATCTGGAATCTTGCTTGCGTCTTCTACATACTGCCCTGGAACAGTGAAAATGGCTGCAAACGCGACTGTGGCAATCAGAACGGCAACCACAGTAGTCGAGTTGATTGCATTGTTGAGACCTTCTGTGTGCATTTTGTTGAGCTGTTTGGCGATTCCTTGAACACGTTGTCTGGTCCGGCGTGTATGCTCAAGCTGGTTGTGAACCTCATGCTTAATATCGCTTACGGTTTGTTTCAGCTCCCGAGCAGGATTAGGGCCGGGCAGCTTAATGGTCTTGGCACTGGGAACTCCATGTTTCTGTAATATAAGAGCCACTTCTGGATTCCCAATCTTCTCTGCTGTGTCGAGTGCGGTTTCGCCTGTTCGGTTAACAGCTTTTGTGTCCGTCATGTTGTTGGCTAGGAGCAACCTAACGATCTGCGATCTGCCTTTTCGGGCTGCAATGTGCAACGCCGTGTTTCCCTTTGTGTCCGCTATATTGATAGATGACCTATCCGCTTTGATAAGCACCTCCACGACCTCAACACTTGTTCCTTTAGCCGCCATGTGAAGCGCTGTTTGGCCCTTCTTGTCCATCCTGATCGCTATCGCTGGTTCCGATGCCAAGAGAGCCTTGACGACTTTGACATGCCCGTTCCTTGATGCAGAGTGCAACGCTGTCTTACCATTGCTCTTGGCAATTCCCGCGAGGCTGCTTCCCAATTCCAATAGGAAGTTAACCACTTCTGTGTGTCCTTGTGTTGCCGCTGTGTGCAATGCTGTTGTATTCAATAGATCCACTGTCATCGCTAGCTCCGAATGAGCCTCTGCTAACACCTTCAACACATCTGTTCCGAAAATGTCAATCACTAAGACGCATTGGATTGGTTTTTAATGGCGATTTTAAAAGGGTTTTCCACGTACCGAGACCTCCTTGCTTTGCAGCAATGTGGAACGCATCGAATCCGTTCCTTGCTTTGATTTCAACCAGAGCAAGATCATAGCAATTGATCATCTCCTTCACAATCTCCACATCACCATACTCTGCTGCAACATAGAGTGCGGTTTCGCCTGATTGGTTCTGTTTCCCCAACAGCACACTCAACTCAGGCTCTCTGGTTTTTGTAAGAATTTTGACAACTTCGTCTTTGTTTCCGCGTCTCACGGCTGAATGAAGCCGCGTGTCTTCGCGTTTCCCGGTCAGCTGTTTAGCCATTTTCTTCTTTTGCACGCCAGAATCCCTGACGGTGTCTTCTTACCCTTCCATTGTTTGTTACAATCACCAAACCCTAACAAAAACCTCTCGTTCAAAACTATCCGATAAAACAATCAATCAATCTCTTTTTACAGCTAAAAACATATTTATTATTTATAAACCGCACATTCTGATTCTGCTCTTGGTTATGCAGACAATTTAGATGAGCATCACAGGCAAACCATTAAAACAAAAAAATTATCATCAAAGCTCGATAAAATAACGTTCATCTCCACTGAAAACAATCATACTCGCATGAAAAAGACCAACACAACCCCATGAATCGAAAAATACCTGAAAATTTGTGGGTTTCTTGAGCTATATCGATTCAAATTTCACATGTATAAAGTAGCCAAAGAACAAAAGAAGAATGATTCATCATTACCAGGAATGGTCGTAGACAGGAATGTACAATATAACAGAGACAGCTCTTGTGGATAAATGATACTATGAAGATGAGAAAATGTAATGACAG